ACTCATCACAGCGCATCACAGCGCACTCATCTCCATCGAGCTCATCGTTGACGACGGGCCAAAGATCAGGACGTTAGCCTGCTCAGCCAGGCGAGCATTTCGCTGCACTTGGTTGGTGGCTTTCTGTTGATCTTTGAGCCATCCAGTCGTTCTGATGCGTAACTCTGTTCAAGGTGGAAGGGTCGGGGCTGTCTTCAAATCTGGATCGTTCCAAAATCAGCCTCGGAGCAAACACCAACGGAGCACTTGGTGGGACCTTCCTTTGGCCAAATGTTCGGCTGTCACGGCTGAAACTGTGTCACTGTGCTTTGAAACTCACCTTGTCACAACGGCTTCAACCTCGCTCCAAGCTTCTGGTGCGAGGCGCTTCAGCGACTGCAGTTTGGAAGCCGAAGATCGAATTTTGATGAATTTTGAATCCCAAATCAACACAGTCATTCTGTTTTTTGATTTGGGGGACTGGGACATCACGCAGAACTCATGCTGAAACCGAGAAAGCCAATGACATCACGAAGCTGTTGACGGCATTCTTCTTGCTTCGAAACTGTCGGGTCCAAGCCATACCGTGCGTTTAAGATTCCCTTCGACACAGCATATTTCTTGGACCCCCTGTTGTCTTCCTGCCGAATTTGGACCTTGATCCGCAACCTGGAGTGGGACTTCGTTCGGACTGCGGCTCTGACACATCTCGTGCCCCTTTCTCACGGGAAAGTCCTCGGGGGAGAAGCCTTGCAAGTAGGCCCACACTGCGAAAAGGATGGTCTCCTTGCTGCGGATGGGGACATGGAGCAGGAGTATGTCGTCTGCTTGAACTTGAAGAGTTTTGAAGAGTTTTGAAGAGTTTGTAGTTTGTTTAGTCTCCTGCGAGCTTTCAATTTCCTTTGAGCTCTGTGAGCTTCCCACGTGGTATCCTCTGAAGCACTCTCTTCAGCACGGTCCCCCATCTGCAAACCGGGTTTCAATCCGAACCAAAGTGATTTTTGATCCCAAGCTCTTGGCCGCTCTTGGCTAAACTACACATGTAGAATGGTATCGTTTCAGAACAAGAGTCAAAGACTGCTCAACTTGGTACAAGTAGTAATTAGTTTCCGAGGATGTAAGATTGTTCTTGTCCTTAGCCTTCCAAGGATGATTCAATTTGCTGCATTGACTTGTCTTGTGGCTATTGAGTCACCTATGTAACATTGAAGTATACCTCCCAGCAATTCAACGTGGCTTGCCATGCTGAACTGCCGGAGGATGCATCAAAGAATGTGATGATGGACTACCTTATCCAGCTAGAGCCCAAATCAACGCGAAATCACTGAACAATGTCAAGACCCACTCCTGATGCGACTGCACAGGGGTCACAGTGCAAAAAATCAAAACTTCCCATTTCACTCTGAGACTACATACCCAAACAGTAAAAAGAAGCCATGCTAATCAATTTACAGATGGTGCTTGCGAACTGGAAAATCACCGTGTTATAGGTAAATCAAAGAACTAAATGGATCTAAATGGGTCATTTCCAATAGCTATGTTAAATGGCACCCAGAGGGTACCAACGAATAAACTATCATTCTGAATAATTCCACGTTGGGAAAATATCAATGTTGGGAGGACTGAATTTTCACAAAAACTTCATGTTTAACACGATGATTCTCCCACTGTGGAATCACAGCCCAAACCATCAGTTGATTCCCATAGTAAAACTGCAGTTACCAACAAAAAATGGGGTGGCAGTGGACAACAACATGTCATTTCATTTCAAAATGGTGGTCAATAATTCTGAACTATACTTACCGGAATTGGCTCAAATGTTCAGGAAGCCGCAACATTTGGGAGTTTAAGTTTTCAACCGTGGTTTCCTGCAAACGTTTCCTTGCATCAACCCATCGAAAAAAACAATGGGACATGTTTCATTGGGCTGAGAAAAGAATTGAATCAGATACAATCGATGCAATATAATCACAATAATGAATCAGAATTGCCAACAAAGAATGGCCGAATGGCTATCATCCTGGCCAAATTATGCACCTGAAATGCTTTCCGACATGATCAATTCCCAAAATCATGGAGGCACAGCTGCAGATTTCCTGACTAGACCACTAGTATCCACTTTGATGTTTTCCTGTCATCCACTAGTCATTTCATGTTTTCATTTCTGATCATTTTGCGGAATCACCGCACTCACATCTCAGTACGCCCTGGTCGCCTTAATGCTGAAAACACACACTGAAATCACCTCTGACGTCCGTGTTCAGCACTAAGGCGACCCCGACTTTCCGGGTTTTCACGGAGATTTTCCGACAGGTCTCCGGATGTCTCCGGACTTTTCGTTGACTTTTCGTTGACTCACGAAAATCCATGTCATGCAGTGTCCTTTCCGTCTCCCTTTCCGTCTCCCCACGGCCTCGATCTGCTCGCGTTCCTGCGCCTAGCACTTCAGTTCCAGGCGTGACAGGTGGATCTGAGTGATGGCGTGACATCGCGTGACATCTATATCTATATAGTCTATATAGTCTATATTATAAGTCAGCTAGAGATGTGGCGTGACAGGTAGATCTGATGTTGAGAAACTCACAGCTGCCGATGTTGTTTGCAACGTTTTCATACGTGGCATGTGACAACAAAAAAGGAATCAAGATTATTGAATGACCACACAAAGTAGATGTGTCCAATTGTGTCCACCTGACCTACCAAATACTTTGCTAGAAAGTGGGTCAACAACATTTCATGGGCCAAGAGTTGGTACAAAACATGTTCAATTTTGGTTGTCACCTGAAAGAAAAGAAGACAAACCGCTTTGACTTCGTCCTGAGGATTCAAATGACATTAATTATTCCGAACAATGGCCGCATCACAAGCTACTTTCAACCAACAGCAATGTATTGCAAGTGCGCCGAAGAAGCATTGCTCGAAAATGGGGCCAAATGTGCATGTCCAAATCCATGATGATACATGGCAAGATATGGCAAGGTTTGCCCAGAAGTTTCCAAAAAAAAAGGACCATCTGCTAGCGCACCAGGCCTAAATCCCCTACTGCACAAAACGATGCTGCCAAGCAACACCGCAGTGACGCTTCTGGGAACGGGAAACAAGCTGCAAAAATGGATTCCAATGTCTCAAATTATCATGGAGAAAACGTAAGTTCCACCCTTTCCTGTACTATGACATTATGATCTGACACTGAACTCACATTGGTTTAGTATCCAAGGTATTTGTATGTGGAATACGGGCCAACTTGAAAGCTGTGATCTTGCACCTCTGCCCAGTCTTGAAGCGACAAGTTCGACGCCTCCCACAGTGACACTTGAAGGCAACAATGTTGAAAGCACACTAAAATATACTACAATGCATCGCGATGCATCAGCACCCATAGCCCAGATAGCCCAGTCAAGGTGATTTTGCACGATATGCGTGCTGTGGTGTTCCATATTCCTGAAAACCTGAAAGAGCCTGGAAACCTGAAGGTAACGGAAAAGAAATAGAACCGACTAGCAGTCAATGAAGTTACTCTAAAAGCCAATGAAGCTGACTGCTGACCTCTTGAATCACATCGTCCTGTCGCAGAATGTCAGAACACTGCTTTCCCTCGGGGATGTTTCAAGTGAGATCTGGATGTGCACCGGATATTGCAGTCTTCTGTTGACATGGAATGCTGTGCAGGAGACTGGTCTCACCTGCGGCAAGTCTGTGCGCTCAGCCTGGCCGAGAGTCATCCGGACTTGAAGAGTAAATTAGAATTACCGTACATTTCAGGAAGATTTCATAATGGGACATTCAATACAACAATAGGAGACCATAGGGATGTACTATAATCATGGACTATCCCTGGATGTCCTTGGCTTAAGTCCGAGTCCTCAAGCAATCGCAGGCTCCATCAAAGAAACGGACAGGGGAGCGAAATTATGGGATTGATGGAATCCCTTATCCTGTGTCAAGTTTGGCTCCATGAAAAGTGGACGGTGACATGCTGATCATGACATCGAACCTTTCCAATGTGTGCAAAGCTGTACAAATCTATCTATAAAAGTCCATCGAAATCAGAAATCTATAAAAATCCATAAATCCATGAAAATCCATAGAAATCAATGGAAATCCATGGAAAACCCATATCAATTTCACACAACCTGAACAGCGGGAAGATTAAAGCACTACGGTTTGTAATTACAATCTTGTTCCTAAGGCAAAAATTTGGTTGAGTACAGTTCCAGCCATTTCTTTGACGACACCCACTGGATGCCAAGATTTGGGATGCATTTTCTCACTGGTCAATCCCTGAAATCAAACGGTTCGGGTGCTGAATAGAGATTGGCCATGAAAAACCATAACATTTCCAGAAAGGGCATCTAAATCTATAAGCCATATATATATATATTATAAAATTATATATAATATATATGCTAGGGGTTTACCAATGGGTGCACCATGTCACCATGTCGCGGCATTTGTTGTCACTTCACTGCAGTTGCAGGATCAGCCACTTGTCCTACTATCAGAATTATTTTGCGCTCATACTTACCCTGGTTTCATCCCAATATCACAATTCATCCCAGATATGTGAACCTTATATAAATCTTCTCACTAACCTCAGAGTCCATGCTAGAGTTTGGTGAAGTGCATCAAATTTCCTGTTTAATCTCCACCAATGCAAAATGTTTGACCGTTTTGCACGTGGGCTTGTGCAACAACGGGCAATTGCCCCAAAATCCAGTGGTTTGTTACCTTCGGGGCGCACCCCATTACTTATTTGAATTGCGCTAGGGACCGTTTTTGCAACCAACAGCTCCAGGGCCCTAAGTTAGGGTAGTTTGAACCAAAGCCACACGCCAAGGAACATGGTGTAAGGATCTAATTGATCTCAAATTCACACCCGTCTTATCTACATGTCCTTGCGTGGCTTCCAAACTGTCTATACACTTTACAGCAGCGGGCTATTCCTGCTGATGGCATCTGCCACACATCAATCATGCAAGTCTGAGCGAATTCAGGCCGGATGTCAAGGTCCTCGTTAAAACGCAGGGTTTCATTGACTTCGTCAATGCATCTGCGAGCATCCGGGCAGTCTCAATCCACCACAGCTCGTCCCCATAGGGCGAGTACTCAAGACTGCTCTTCTGGCCATTCCCTGTCCACAAGGACTGCCTCAATGCCGCAAGCTCTATGCCCAGTCGTTTATCCTGGACCTTCTTGGGCACTTCTGCATTCAGGTGTTCGACCAAGCTCATGCAGTCAGACACCCAAACGTGTTTCATCTTCATCTGGCATTGATCGTGCCAGTCTGTCATCGACACCAGCTTGCCTGTCATCTCACACAGGACACACCTCAAGCGGTCACCGTGTTCCACTGCACTCTGAAGTGCGTGCGACTCAGCTTGCAATGTGGCTCTGCACACTCGCTTCAAGGTTGACGAAGCGAAGCCGATCACATGTATGCTGTGATCTTTCTCAGTCAAATGCGAAGCCGTAGACAGATAGTGAATTCTGCCTTGCTGGGATTTAAATCCAGGCTCATTTGCAAAAGACGCATCGCTGTATGTCACCACTGCAAGATCCTTCCAGTCATGACAATTGCAATCCAATTGGCCTTGTACACCAGCTTCATGTCTTGGTTCTGGCGTGCCAGTTCAACAGCCTTGTTTGCCAGCCTCAAGTCTGACACCGTGGCCTTTGGATTGTCTGGAGTTCATTCACCTTGTACGCCAAGTCTGCACGACAGTACCGCGCTACCCACGCCAGTGATCCCGTCACTGAACGGAGACTTGTCAACTCCTTTTCCATGACAACGTCAGTTCCCTTACGGGACTTGTCAATCGAAATTGGCTTGATTCCTCTGGTGTTCTCCTCAGCATCGGTTTCAACTGTGAAATCATCATGCTGGGTAAACCAACGTCCACAGTACCTGAAGCTTCCTTCTTCAGTCTTTCCGACCGAGAACTTTTCCAAGGATCTCCTGAATCACCTTCGCTCCACTTGGCTTGTGGGCAAACAGTAAATCATCCACGTGGGTGCATAGCATGGCATCCGGTTCACCGTTTTCGTCCTGATGATAGTACAGGGCAGGCATCACCTTTGACGCCTTCATACCTGCTGTCTTCACTTCTGAATCCATGCGCAAGTAGAAACCTCTACCTGCATCGATTGAACCATAGATGGGCACCCTACAGAGCAGGCACGCTTCTGCAGGCACATCTGGATCTCCAAGTCCACCTGTCGGCTGCCGCATCAGTAGCAACCTCGTCAGTGGCTTTGCTTGAAAATACGCATTGGTCACGTCACTTCCCTTCAGACGCAACCTCTCCGAAGCTGCCCAACTCGCCAGGAGGCAATGGGACTCCGCATCTGCTGTCGGAGCATCGCACCTCACATCTTCGCGACTGACATCTTCGAAGTTACCGCAAATCACCAACTGAGCTTTCAAGCAGATTCTGAAGCTCCTTTCCCCAAATGGGAATTGCAGCGTTGAAGCTCTTGTACTTCTCCCACTCTGCAGTTCGAGCTTCCATCATCAAGGCTCTGATCTCTGGTGAGACCTTCCTGATGTCCACTGTCTTGGCCACCCTCCCAGATTGAACTGTCTCCTCGGCCTCCACACTGCGCTGTGCAATGAAGGACCTTAGAGGTTCCATATCCAGTTCCAGATCCATGGCTCGCGCGCGTTCGAATGGGTCTTGTGCCCTTCGAAAGACGGTGAAACCGGTCCAAGCGTCCGTTTCTTCTACGTTACTTACCTTACCCGTTTCGTTTGTTTTTACATCCCCATTCCTGAAGATCTTTCTTACTGTTGCAAACCCTGAGTCTTGAAACCCTTCTGGCAGCTCACCATCAACCATCGTGTTTCATGTTGTACTCTCGTTTCCTGGTTTCTGTATGGACTCTGATTGCCACATCCATTGAAATGCGCCAGTGGTCTCCATCCACCAACTCAGCCATCATCGTGTCACCAGGTAGTGCTCCTGGAGTCATTGGAGCAGCTCTCGTGTACAGGCCTGGTCGTTCAGATTGGTCCGTCTTATCTTTGGCCTTCAACCGTCTTCCTGGTGTTGCTGGGGCTCTTGACGGCGCGCTGCTCCCCTGAGGGGCTTCTTCATCATCATCAAAGATCCCAACTGGGTTTGGGAACTTTGGTCCTTGTTGTTCATCTTCAAGATGGATGTACTTCTGTTGCTGAGGGCCTGACACAATGGCATCTGGCAGCACAGGTTCCCCATTCAAGATGGAGAAAGCCAGGGCCTCGCTCTCATTGGCAGACCTCACACGTGACGTGCTGCACAAGATTGGAACCCCCTCGTGTAACAACCACAACCCATTGGCCAATCACACGGGATGCTGTGCTCCATGTTGTGCCACCTTGTTGTGCGTCCCTCCTGTAACAAACCAAATCACCAACTGCATACTCTTTGTGCTGGGGCGCTGCATTGCGTGTCAGCGCACGTGCAACCCTGTTGCTTGTGTCTAAGTGGACGAAAGCCCTCTGTGCCCTCATTCTTGCGGCGTGTACCTTGTGGTACGCCACGGTTGGATCTGCTTTCGCTTCAATCACATCCAAGTCAGCGCTCTCTGACATGTCTGTGACTGAGCCCGGCATGCGTGGTTGTTTCCCAAAACCCATTGACTTGCACTGTAACCGTTTGTTCTCTGCATGCTGTTCTTTGTGGATGTGCATTCTTGCAGCAACATCTCAAAGTCTGCAAGTCCTGCTGTCTCGGTATCAGCAACCACTTTTCTGACCATTGCTTTTAGGATACGCCCATGACGTTCTACCTTTCCTATAGCTGCTGGGGTTTCCAAAGGGGCAAACTCGATATTGCACCCGTGACTGGCCAGCATCTTGGTCACTGCGCCTCGGTTGTGAAGGCCTCGATCCATGATGCATGCCTTTGGCCAGCCAGCCCAAGCAATCCACTTGGTCATCAACGCCTTGGCACATGCCTCTGAATTCGAAGTAGGCTGCCCTCCACCTTCCTTGACAACTTCACACATGTGAAAACCCGTTGCAATGTCAACCATCGACATCACGGAGTACTTGTTCCCCAAATGATCTCTCATTTCCAGTACGCCAAAACCCAACACAGAGTTAAACTCAAAGTTGAAATGACTTCCAACTGGGTGATCTCTTGGGGGTTTTGCAGAGTCCCCACATGCCTGGCACCTCACCAATCGAGCTGCCTGCCCTTCCTGCCTTCAGGATGTTCTTCAAGGTAGCAGGTGTTGGATGGCCAAATTGCCTGTGCAGGCGCCGGATGGCAATCCTAGTTCGTGTGGGCAGTGCTCTCCAGTGCGCTCTCCTCTGGACCTCATCCAATGGGGCCCCAGGGATTGCAAGTTGATCCAACATGAGTTGCTCATTCTCTGCTGGTGTCAGAGGCTTGTTGGGGTCATCCAGCATCTGGTCATCCGATCCAGATAGCTCATCCATAGCTTCACCAACAAACATGTCTGTGCGTGCCTATCTAGGTAAAGCTTCTCTGAATGACCTTTCAACAGCTCATGAAACTCCATCCCACATGCATCTTGGAACGTCCTTGGTGTCATGCTCTCTTGACCCTCGTTCCAATCCACTGCCAGCCTGAACAGTTCATCGTTGCGGTCTACTGCAACAAACAGGCACAGATCACCCCCAAAGCAATAACCCTTGCATTGGTTCATGTCAGCTTCACAATGGACATCTTGGATTTGTTTCCAAGTGGGATTTTCCATGCACACTGCAACCAGTCCAGGGCTCTGGGATGAGACCCTGGCTGCAAGTTTCTTGCATGTGTCTTCCCAGTTGGGGTCAACTGTCATGACATGCACATCGTTCCAACTGGACAAATTGACCGTGGCGTCTTTCAAAACCAACATGTGAACCGATTCTGACAAATGGGATATCCCTACCATAGCTTTCATAACTTCATCCTCATGCTGCATGATCTTCAACCCTGAGGTTACCACACTTTTGTCCTTTTTGTCCATCACCCTTGACTCACTGGACATCAAGGCTCCCAACAGCGCACATGGGTGAGGCTCTGCTTTCACCTCCAGCTTCACTGCAGTCGCAACTGCCTCTGACCCAGTAGTCCCACTTGGGTCAGCGTCATCGTCGCTGTTGCGGTCGATGTATTTGCTAGGATGCATCGTCAAGGCCTTGGCAAAGTGAGGCATTGCAAGTTTTTCTGGGGTACCTTCAACTACTAGCCTTAGCTTCAGGGGTTTTCTGTTCAGGGATTTCCTCTTTTGGGGCAGTTACGGCAGCATGTGCTGTGGGAACTTCTTCAATCACATCCATGGGTTCTAGGGTATCCATGGTTTCCATTCCACCTTCATCACCTGCCAGAGCAAGTTGTGTGTTCTCTTCTGTGATCTCTTCGACATCGTCGTCTTTCTCTTGTTCTTGTCCATCATCATGGCCATCATCTCCGTTGTTGCCATCTCCATTGTCTCCACCTCCATTATTTCCCCAGGCTCATCGGGCGGTGTTGCCTCTGCTTCCCTTGTGGGAGCATACACCAAGATCCTCCCAGTGGACTCGTGTTGATACTCCAGTTCGGTCTCCACTGGGTATGTTCCATCAACAGTCTAACTTCTGTCGATGTAGTCATAGGTGGTGACACTCCATCCCTCATGTCTCATGGATGGTGAAGCCCAAGACCTTCTGATAGTCTTTCCACCAGAGGCTTCCTCTTGCAAGCACAACCCGATGTAGTCTGGGCCAAGTACTGCGACCTTCACATTCGCAGCCATGTTGTTCTGCTCCACTGTTTGCACCTTTCTTTCCTCAGCTGTTGTACCTGGGAAGTACGGCCCAACCCAACGTAGGCACTTCTGCTTGTAGCCAGTCTGATGGTCCACAGCAGCTGCGTACCACATGGCATCCAACAGCTCCACAGAAAGACCGTGGGCATCGACCCTTTTGTTCCAGGAGGTGCCATCATCCTCCCTTGCAGGCAGATCCAAATGGCTTGGCCAGCCGGCCATGACAGATTCCACACTCACAGTTCTTGTTGGAGGTCGTCGACGAGGAAGTGGTGATGGGCTTCTCGGAGGTGGTCTTGGTGGCGTCCTTGGTCGTCGGTACGACACCTCTCGACGCCAAGGCGCTTCACCATATCGACTCTCCCTTCAAAACCTTGATCGACCACGTCGTCTTGAATCCCGGGAGTCACTCCTGCTTCGTCGCCTTCTGTAAGACGAAGGGGCTGAGGCTCGCGCCTGATCCCTCTCAGCTACCAGCTGAGACACCACCGACGTCAGCTCACTGATCCTTGCAATCAAGGCCTCTGTCTGCTGTCCATCTCTGGGCGCTGATCTCGATCTCCTCGGTGGCGAGGGTGTCCTTCTCGTCGCTGGTGATCTTCTTGGTGGTGTTTTGGGTGGAGGTCGTGTTGCAGGGGCAGGTCGTGCTGCAGATCCTGTTGAGGATGCCCTTGAAGGCTCAGGAGGCACTGGAGGGCTTGCTCTGGTCTTTGGTGCCCTCGGTGCTGGTGCTGTGGGTGCTGCCTTTGGTACTGGTGCCAATCCAATACCTCTCACCTCACAGGCCTCATCCAGCATGCTCATGTCCTTCTCATTCATCTCACAACGAGCCAAATCGCACAATGTCCCTGCATGATCCTCTGCCTCGGTCTTGGCATCTGTGTTGACATGCTGGCAGTGATCACATCTGCCACGACACCCACCTGACATCTGAGCCCAACTGGTTCGAGCATTTGCATGTGTCAAGCTGCAACTGATCTGCAAGAACTCCAAAGCGCTTGTAACCAACCAGCCCAGGGCCACACTCCTGTGCCGGTTCCTCCTGCAGTAGGCCACCACTGCAACTGCTTTTCCTTCTTCAACTGCTTGCTTCACTCTCCTGACGAGTGCATGATCTGCATCGTCCAATCGTTGCGCACAAGCCCTGCCAAAATGTCAGGGTGAGTCCCAATGTGACTCCTCAAGCTCTTGTCATGATGAGGGTCTCCAAGCTCCAAGGTGTCAACCACAAAGACTTCCCTGTCACCCAAGCCAAAGTTCTGGCAGAGTCTCTCCAAGTTGCGCGCTGATGGATCGTTGCAGTAGGCGTCCAAAGGAGGGCAAAATCTTTCCCTGCAGTGTAGATCAGCACTTGCTGTCCAGAAGGGGCCATGGTGCGAGGAGTGGTGCTGACATATGCCATGTTGTCAGGGGTTTTCAACTCCCTGATCTGCGTTGGTGTTTCTTTGAACGACATGTTGATCAACCCCTTGCTCAGGCAAACACACAAGAGTCCTGAATCCTTGGTCTGTGCAACTTCAAGGTGGGTCCATCTCTACCAAGTGTGCATGTGGATGTTGCCATGTCCTTCACCAAACCCAATGCTGCTTGAGCATGTTGTGACAGCAACAAAGGTGTGGGATCACCAGGCTCACCAACACATACGTTTCCAAAACACCTGGCAACTTCTTACCACCTTCAGGTTCCAACACAAATGGATTTCTGTATCGACCCTTGGTGTGCACATTGCCTGCAAGACCTTTGAATGCCTTCTGTTCGTCTGACTGCATAGGGACATCAAAACCCATGTTCTTCAACTTGGCTTTGCATGTTTCCATCCATTCATGTCCACAAACCGTTGAGTTGCAACCCTCGTCCAACACTCCCCAGACATGTTCATCATTGAGAACATCAACCACTGGGAGCACACTGCACTCCAGATCGTCCTCCAAAGGGGAAAGCGCCATATACCCTGCATGGGTAGCCTCTCTGGCTTCCACCACGGCCTCAATTGCGTTGCGCAAGATGTCGATCATGACACTGGCACGCATGCTGGGGTCATGTTCCAACTCAATTTCACAATCCTGTTGAAATTGGTGCATCACAGCTACTGAGTCATCAGTGCTCAAAAGTAGTTCCAACCTTTCATACGTCAACAAGTCTTCTGCCAGATCTACCAAGGGTGCAGCAGACTGACTCACAGCCCTTCCCAAGGCTTCCCTGCGCTGTCCTTCATCACATGGCATCTCGTCCACATGGGTTCTACACAACAGACAAAACGTTCTGCTGGTGCTCTTGGTTGATCCCCTTTTGTCGGTGACTGCATGGTTGCATGTCTCAGGGTCATGGGTGTATGTTGGATTCTTTGGGGTCTGTGTGACTCTTCCACAATCCCTGCATGTCTTGCGCTCGACGTATGCATTGGATCCCAACAGGCTGAAATCCTTGCAAACGTGGCCAGAAATCTCCACAGGGGGATTGGGAGGTTTCTTCGTGACAGTCTTGTGTCTCGATCCCGGCACCGGTGCAGGTCTTGGCTGCACTTCTTCTGGGGCCATCTTTGGGGTAACTTGATGGGTTCCATGGTCAACATCATAGTACATATCAACCCAATCCAAAAATTGGCTCAGGATTCTTGAAGTACCAGGTTCATTGCGTCCCCAAATATAGTACCCAGGGTATTATCACCTCATGATACGTATACCCCTTGTGCTGCTCAAACGTGAAAACATGGTCACTTCCAGGGGGCAAAGTCATGTCACCCATTGGATCCACTCTCTTGGCACGAAAGGCAGGCATCATGGGCACACGTGGGCCTGATGCATGACTTGACACCTGGGAAAAACTACTATCATTGGAGGCAGGGGATGGTCGTCGTGGGGATCTAGCTTTGGCCGTAGCAGGGGATGTATGGGGAGTCCTATAACCAGTATACCCACATGTCTTCTTGTTGCTCCCTGCTCCAATGGCCACACAAGGCAATGGGCCACCATCATCTCCTGAGGAATCACTCAGGGCAAAGTAACCAACCTTCCCTTGGCTCGGCACTTGACCTGGGACCGATGCAGTGGCATTCGGCTTCTCGTTCGGCATTTTGCATTCTGGGTCACCTGCCCCGTGTCCATAGCCTCCACAGCGTAGGCAACGACTGTTTTTCTTCTTCAGACTGGCAAGTCTGACTTTCCTGTCTTGGATGGACAATTGGGTCTTCACAACCCTCTTGCCCTTCCCTTTGCCCTTGTCTTTCTTTGCCTTTTCCTGATCCCTTAAGGGGTCCTTTCGCCTTGGCACGTCCCACGGCAGCGTAGGCCTGCAACTGGTGTTGGCATGCCTCTCCAAGTTCTTCAAGACCCTCTGTTGAGGTCTCGTCCATGTCACAGGCAGCCATGGCTGTCAAAGCAATGTCAAGGTCTTCACCTGACACCCAGTCACAATCATCTGGGTCCTCTGTACTGGGCTCATCGCCATACCCAACATAGGCTCCGTCGTCGTAGTCCTCATTCCAGTCGTAGTTGTCTCCATCAACTGCTGCTTCATCACCTGCATGGCCATCATACTCACCTGCAATGTAGCCTGATCGATACCACCCCTTTCCTTTGTTCTTTCCTGCTCCTTTCGCTTGAAAGGGCCTTGAAGGAGGGGCCAGATTCCTCGAATCCCTCAGATGGATCCTTCCGTGGTGTTCCAACAAGATCTCACTGTATCCCTCAAAGCTGGGCTTCGGGCAGGCAGTCTTGACCATGAGTTGTTCCTGTCTGCTCAGGCCTGATGTCTCAAGGAGAAGTTCAGCTCGCATCTGGGTGGAAATTGCCATCTCTGGGTCAAGTTCTTTAAGTTGAATCCACCATCGTTTCCTCCTTCCAATGAAGGACAAGATCGTCTCTGCAGACTGTCGACTGAGGGGGCCATTTGCCTGTTGACCAAGCCTGAAAAGCTCCCTTGCCTCATGTGACCTCAAAGGGAACACATGCTCCTTGATTCTCTCCACCGGCAATTCCAGTCCGGTAGGAGGGCCAACATCCATCAATGCATTCAGACCCAAGTCTTTTGCCATCAGAAATGCATCTCCTCTGAGCCCTTCATGGGGACACGTCCAACAGATCGTGCTCCTCTTGACTACGGGGTGAAGCAAAGCCACCAAGTCCAGCTGAGCGCTCACCTGAAGGGGCCTGGGGCGACACCTCAGCAGCAGTTTCGCACCCTCTTGCTCAGCCGCCTCTGTCGGCTCGCGTCTCCTCCGGTCACTGCTAGCAGGGCTGACCGGGGAACTGGATGCTTCCTTGGCCTTTTCCTTGGCCTTCTGTTCCATCTTCTTCTTGCAGAGTTCTACACGAAGAAGGGTTCTGAATTGCCATTCGTGAAAGTGGGACGGATCTCCACTGTACACGTAGGCTCCACTTTTTGTTTCCAACGGTCCTGTAGGACTGCTCGGGCAGTACCTCAGGCCGGCCATCGACATGGCGTTCGATGGGATTTCAGCGAGCCTTCAGGATGTTTCTACGTTACACACTTGCACACACAACAAACACACACAGGTTTCGGACCTAGGCTATCACCGTGAGAGTCCGGATGTCGGGAGTGAACTCTCCGGCAACCAGCTCCGCTACCAGTTTGAATTGCGCTAGGGACCGTTTTTGCAACCAACAGCTCCAGGGCCCTAAGTTAGGGTAGTTTGAGCCAAAGCCACACGCCAAGGAACATGGTGTAAGGATCTAATTGATCTCAAACTCACACTTACATGGGTTGCGTCAAAATGATTGAACCTGCAAAATGGATCAAAAGTGGCTGGTTTCAGATTCTACAGATCCTACCGTAAGTAGCCATTTTCCAACACCAGGTATTGTGTCACAATGAAAACCTGCAGGACCTGCAGGATCATGCGGCTCCAGTGACTCCAGTGCGCACCTGGGGTTGAGTGTCATGGATGTAGCCAGCCTTTCCGGCCATCGGTTCACTCCCTGCCGAGGCCTCAGACGTGGCTAAAGCAACTCTGATGAGCTGTGTTTCAGTGATGTGTTTCATTGATGTCAATGTCCGATTCACTGAAACTGTCGAAACTGGAATCTCGTGAAAATCATGATTTCCCATCGGCATTCGGACCTCTTTTTTCGGTGGCAAAGACTTTGAAGATCTCGCCTGCAAGATGCGTTGAATATCTTCAAATGTTGGAAATGCCGGGCCTCTCAAGGCACGTTCCTTGCTGCACTCTACTCAAGATGACGAGGGATTGCAAATCAAAAGACAATAAGAACAAGAATGGTGGAATATTCCATGCAACTCCAGCACGTCACCTTACTGTCGGGTTTTACAACATCAATAGAATGCCTGCGTATCTGTTGCTGATGTTTGCGCAGCAGGCGGCCCCAAATGGCAGAATGTTGACCATTCCGCAGTCTCTTGAGCTTCGCTCGCTTCAACGCTGGTGGTTTTAGATTCCGGAGACACAAGTTGGATCAACATGATAAACTTAGGGTAATCCATCTTAATCCTCTGTGATATCCTTTCATGGACTTTTTGGCCGCCTCTCAACTAAGTTTGTGCACAAATTGGGCAGGTTTTGAATACCGTCAAAGAGCCTGAACCCTGGTACACATGGCTGTGCCTGCCTGTGAACCACCTCAAACTTGGGCTATGCTAAAATCTGCAATTTGTTCATAAATCTCCCATTAGCATCAATCTGGGGGGATTTCCAGCTAGCCATGTTTGATGACACAAATGGCATAGACCGAGGCAGAGACCCTCCCATTTGAGACAACTGCCTTGCACATGGGCCACATCAGCTTGTCAAAGTTTTGCTCTGGAATTTGCCAAAGTTTTGGGAAGGCTTGCTTGGCAATGCTTGAGGTTTGCTATGTTTTCAAGTGCCTGTGGGCTCGTCTGCAAAGGTTGGCTCTTTTCAGCCTGGCACAAAGCTCCAAAGCTGCTACAAAGCTGCTACAAAGCTGTAAAGCAGTGAAGTTACATGCTCCTGTTGTTCGAACAAGTTGCACAGCGATGACTGAATCTGCAAACCGATGACTAGAAAACGATTAAGAAAAAAACATCGATTGGCAGTAAAGCCCCTCCAAATTCAAGAGGCCTCTTGAGATCGTTCTTGAGGCCATCTTGTAGCCTCCCAAGCGGAAGCAGAACGCCATTTCATGAAAAATAAGATACTACCTGATAAGGTGAATATGTTGGAGTTCCTGTAGATTTTGAAAATTTGTTCAAATTGATGTTTCCACGAAACTTTTTCACTGAGGTACGGAAATTTACGTAGATGATTGTTCTCGATCGTTTTTTTTTTTACGTGGTGCAACAGTAATACATATGTATATATACAAATATACATATGTATATATACAATAGCCTACCCGTATATGTATATGGGTGTTTGGGCATATGGGTATTTATATATATATATATATTAAATGTATATGAGTGTATAATCTGGATACTGTATGTCTTTGGGATACACTTGGGATATAATGGGGATATAATGGGGATATAAGGATAGAACAGGATGTGGCTCCTTTTATAATCTGTAAACGGTAAGGGTTCATGAGAATGATGGAATAGTACGTGCAAGGTATGGGATATATGGCAATGGAAAATTGCCCATTTAGTTCGATGTTTTTTTCCATTGGAACAACTTTTATTTCCCAGCAAGCCATGTTGCATTACCAGAGTGTATATATATATATATGAATGATTATATATATATGTGTATATATCCATAATATTAAAAATATTTGTATATCATCATCATCATCATCATCATCATCAATTACTGGAAAATAGAAAGGGATCTGGCGATATAAAGGGAAACCAACAAAAGGGATTATGATCTGATTATAATCTGATTATGGTGGTATAATCAGATTCTCATGGGAAATGATGGCAGGATCATGGGATATGAAATGGGATCATGGGACTATCATGGGATCAAAATGTTACTTGTCAAGCACACTGATAGTCAATCCATCCCCAATCCAAGGGAAAAAAACATGGTTTCTCGGACATGTTTACCCATACATGTTCCAATCAACATTCC